AACGCTAGATCATTCAGGGAGGGGCGTGAACTTTCAGGAAGTTCATGACTGGTTACAAAAGTCACGTGACTTCCGCTGTCGTAACAGTTGGTTTGAAAACATTGTGTTGCGTATCTGCTGTTTGTAAATTTCCGGTATAAATTCTTTCCGAGGAACTTCAGCGATATAAGTCCCTTCTTGATTAAAACTAGTTTATTCTTCTCGATACAACTTTTTTATAATACACAGAATTTCTACAGTCACTTTAAACTTAACTACTTTTATAAACACACGCTATAATTCACACACTTTACTTACGGAGTCTACTGTTCTCTTGACTCGATTATCTCAATTATTTTTCTTTTCAATCTATCTCCGGCTTATATATTAAAAAAGAGGGCATCTAGCAAATGCTGGGACATTTGTGAGGTTGCCCGCTAAGTCACGATCCTTCTAGAAACTCCAGCACACCTGCTCCCAGCGTCACGTGACTCCCGCTGTCATAACAATATTGAGGCTGAATGACATCTAAAAGCCAATGCAAACAAGTAACAAAGCAATGAGACTGAGTAAAGAATTTTGTACAAATCATGTATGATGAGTTTGTTTTCTTACCTGTAGTTCAGATAGTCGTTGTCTGGTTTCAGGCAGAGATGATAGTTCCACTTCCTTCCCTAAGATGTTTTCAACCTTAACCAACCATTCTTTCAACAAAGTGTTGATCTTGGAAAACTGCTGCCATGACAACAAAGCATCCTCTATTTCCTGACGCCGTTCTCCAATCCAAGCTTCAACTTGGATAAGCTGCTCCCTGAGTGAAGTGATTGTACCTTTTAACCTTGATGTTTCCTCTACATTTTGGGAATTTTCTATGATGATGTTACCATTCCGACTTACTTTCTCCATGTTGTCTTTAACAGAAGGAACTTCAGACAAAATAGGCTAACAAGAGGAAGAAAGCACAGAATTGTAAGATAGGCTGATCAAGTTTTAATGAAATAAAAAAAACCTGCTGCAACTGAGACAAGCTGCAATGAGTTACGTGCTTCATGTACGTAAGAAATCATGCAGAATCAAAAATCAAATCGATTATAAAATAAGACAAGCTGCAATGAATTATGTGCTTCATGTACGTAAGAAATCATGCAGGATCAAAAATCAATTAATTTATAAAATAAGACAAGCTGCAATGAGTTACGTGCTTCATGTATGTAAAAAGTCATGCAGGATCAAAAATCAAATAATTTATAAATAAGACAAGCTGCAATGAGTTATGTGCTTCATGTATGTAAGAAATCATGCAGGATCAAAAATCAAATAATTTATAAAATAAGACAAGCTGCAATGAGTTACATGCTTCATGTAGGTAAGAAATCATGCAGGATCAAAAATCAAATCAATTGTAAAATAAGACAAGTTGCAATGACTTACGTGCTTCATGTAAGTAAGAAATCATGCAGGATCAAAAATCAAATCAATTGTAAAATAAGACAAGCTGCAATAAGTTATGTGCTTCATGTAGGTAAGAAATAATGAAATTTTTTTATTTTTCTCTCTCATATCTACCAAGTTATATTTTAACACATTAAAATGACCCTTATTCTTAACAACTAATCATAAACAACTAGTCATCAGTTAAGAAAATACTGTAGTTAGAAAAATGAATCAGTTATTTAGTTTTAAAATCTAGTTCACATCTAAGTGTACAAAACTAGCTTCATATATAAATTTTGATTTACATACCATAAGTGTTTCTTTTGCTTCTTGTGGACATTTAGACTTATCTTCTAGTTTTTCCTGGGCTTTCTGAAGCCAAGCAACAATATTCTCAACTCCTTGCATGTATTCCCATCGGGCAGTTCTTGCACGCTTGAACTCTCGTTCCTTATCTTCCATAGCAACAGAGACTGTTTCAGATAGCAGCTCCAAAGATTCCAAGGCTTTCTGAATTACTTCAGGAATACTTCTGTGTTGCTGTTGGTAGCGATTGCTGGCGTCTTGAGCCACAGACTTTACTTGGCTGTTCAAGTCAGATATGTGTTCTTTCATGTGCTGTAACATAAACATAACTAAAGTAGTGGATTACATAATATCAAAAAATATTCACTGCAGACTCAATTAGACTTTCTTTACAGTCACACTTTTAAAAGTACCTTTGTGATAAACAGAATATACTTTCAAGGTTCACATATAAACAAACTTTTACTATGAATAAAGTTTACTAAAAGTCAATATAATCTTAAAAAATATTGTAAGGCTATATAATGTGTCTATTCTTAGTCAGATATAAAAATACATGACATAGCTGTTGCCTAGTCAAAAATAAACTATATAAACTCTTTCCTTGTTATATATAAAGTTGTAAAAAGTTTTGATTTTTTTTAGTCAAATATAAAGTTGTAGAAACTCTTGATCTTCTAGTCAAATATAAACCTGTTCATTCTTTAGTCAATCATAAAGCTGTAAGAACTGTTGATTCTTTAGTCAAGTATAAAGTTGTAAAAAAGTGTTAATTCTTTAGTGAAATATAAAGTTGTAAAACTGTTAGTTTTTTAGTCAAATATAAAGCTGTAAAGAGTGTTGGTTTACTAGTCAAACATAAAGCTGTAAAAACTGTTGATTCTTTAGTCAAATATGAAGCTGTAAAAACTGTTGATTCTTTAGTCAAATATGAAGCTGTAAAAACAGTTGATTCTTTAGTCAAATATGAAGTTGTAAAAACTCTTGATCTTCTAGTCAAATATAAAGTAGTAAAAACTCTTGATCTTCTAGTCAAATATAAAGTAGTAAAAACTCTTGA